GGTTAGGGGGCGCAAATCCACGGGTTAGGGGGCGCAAATCCATGGGTTAGGGGGCGCAAATTACTTGCCTTGCCCCGGGTGCTGACAACCCACGCTACGCCACTGGGTAAAGGTACCCCTGCCTGTACGGGCCAGTCTTGACAGACTCTAGGGTTGTGCGCCCATCTCACTCAAGAGGCTGGGGGCCAGCGCTGTCTGGAGACACTTCCGGGTCACGTGGCCAGCGTGACATCGCTGCTCTGGCAAGCCAGAGCCGCACACGGAAACGCCGTTTACCTTCCCGCTAGTAAGAGGTCCCTATTTATCTACTTGCACCCGGGGGTGCTTTCGAACTGCTACGTTGGCAGGCGCTGGGACCGAGCAACGGGAGCGCACCCCGCCGCGGGGATTCGAACCACCGACCTTTCGATCGGCAAGCCCTAGGCGCTGAGGCTTTTACCCACAGCGCCACCCGCGTCCCGTTAGGGCTGCCTTTAGATGTCCTCTAAAAGTCAGACAGTTGTTTATTTCTTTGACATCTGGTGGGAGGGCGTTCCACAGGGCGGGCGCCACTACTGAGAAGGCCCTCTGCCTGGTTCCCTGTAGCTTTGCTTCTCGCAGTGAGGGAACCACCAGAAGGCCCTCGGCGCTGGATCTCGGTGTCCGGGCAGAACGATGGGGGTGGAGACACTCCTTCAGGTATACTGGGCTGAGGCCTTTTAGGGCTTTAAAGGTCAACACCAACACTTTGAATTGTGCCCAGAAACTACTGGGAGCTAATGTAGGTCTTTCAGGACTGGTGTTATATGGTCTTGGCTGCTGCTCCCAGTCACCAGTCTAGCTGCCACTTTCTGGATTAGTTGCTGTTTCTGGTTCAGATGCTGGCAGGAATTGAACTGGGGACCTTCTGCTCGCAAGGCAGACTCTCTACCACTGGGCTGTGGCTCTGCTTTCTGGCTGGTCCCCTTGGCTTTCCTGGGAGATTCTTCCAAACTGCAGGGTGTGTGGGTCTGCCTAGGTGGGCTCTGGACCTAGCAAATGACCCAGAGCTCTTGGTCTGCTTCCCACAAATGTAAGTGCTTGGTGATGGTGCTGAGAGCAGGGGCCAGCTCAGGTGAGACTGCAAAGAGACACCCGCCCTGCCCCAGTTGGAAAAGGTTCTGAAAAGGGGAATAAAAATTGGGGATGGAGTGGCTTCCCTATGAAGAAAGGTAGTGTTTGGGACTAGGTAAGAGGTGTCATGATAGACATTTATCAAAAGATGCTTAGCATGGAGAAGGCAGATGAAGGAAAGCTTTTCTCCCTCTCTCATAGCACTAGGACTTGTGGACACCACATGAAGTTGAATGTTGAACGATTCAGGGCAGACAAAAGAAAGTCCTTCATGCATCTCAATAGTAATAATAGTCATCCAATGCCCTTTTAAAATGTGTTGGGGAGGGGAGTCTATTGGGTTGTTTATTATTATTATTATTATTACAGTCATACCTTGAGTTACAGATGCTTTAGGTTGTGTGTTTTTGGGTTGCGCACTGCACCAAACCTGGAAGTACTGGAACAGGTTACTTCTGGGTTTTGGTGCTCGCACATGCACAGAAGCACTAAATTGCTCTTTACGCATGCGCAGAAGCGCCGAATCACGACCCACACGTGCGCACACATGGCGCTGCGGGTTGCGAATGATGTGGGTTGCGAACATGCCTCCAGCACGGATCACGTTTGCAACCCAAGCGTCCACTGTATTATTGTTGTTGTTATTATTATTATTATTATTATTATGCATTTTGTGTTTTTATATTGTGATTTCATGTTGCAACTGCCCTGAGGCCTGCAGGTACAGGGCGGCATACCAATTTTGATAAATAAATAAAAAAAAAAACAATGGTTAAACTATGGAACTCACTCCCGCAGGAGACAGTGATGGCCGCCGACTTGGACAGCTTTAAAAGAGGATTAGACAAATTTGCGGAGGAGGCTCTTGAAGGCTACTAGCCATGATGGCTCTGCTGCGCCTCCACTATCAGCAGGTTCTGAATGCCAGTTGCTGGAAACCACAAGAGGGGAGAGGGCTCCTGTGCTCAAATCCTGCTAGCAGGTCTCCCATAATGAGCACCTGGTTTCTGGACTAGATGGGCCCTTGGCCTGATTCAGCAGGCAATTCTTGTGTTCTTAAGGTGGCTCAGCCCATCCTGGAAGCAATCCCAGATGTGCCAGGGGCATTCCCTGTTGCCCTGTACAAGGAAGGCTAAGGCTGCCGGCCCACTGCACACCTAGCGCCAGGCTCCTGCCAGCTCCCAGCTCCTTCCTGTTTCTCACCTGGCACCTCGGGAGGAGGAGGTCAGGGAGAGGTGAGATAGAAGAAGTCTCCCTCTGCCAGCCTCCTGGAGGAGGAGATTAGGAGAGGATTAAGTGTGCTGGCTGGTACAGTTACTCACCCGCAGCAATGCAGGGAGGCCGGTTTTTCTGCTAATGTGATACCCATCTCCTAGGTGATAACTTCCACCTGAGGCGGCTGGCCCCAAACCTCCAAATGAGCCCCTACCTCCAGCCTGCAAGAGAACCTAAGAACCCAAATAAGAGAGCTGCTTCATCGGACCAATGTCCCATCTAGCCCAGCATCCGTTTCTTACTTTAGCCAAATAGGACCTAGGGATCGAGATAGACTGGATATGGAGGCTCCACAAGAACATCAGAACAGCCTGGCTTCTGGATCAGGCCAATGGCCCATCTAGTCCAGCGTCCTGGACTCACAGTGGCCAACCAGGTGCCCCAATGAGAAACCCCAAAGCAGGATTCAAGCGCAAGAGCACTGCCCCCTCCTGTGATTTCCAGGGAGAAATAGCCACCAGCATAGCCACCATGGCCTGTAGCCACTGATTTGCCTAAACCTCTTTTAAAGCCATCTAGGATGGTGGTGATGGCGATGGTGAAGATGATTATAGATTTATTATTTATACTCCACCCATCTGGCTGGGTTGCCCCAGCCACTCTGGGTGGCTTTCAACACATATAAAAACACAATAAAACACCAAGCATTAAAGATCTCCCGACACAAGGTTGCCTTCAGATGTCTTCTAAAAGTTCTATTGTTGTTTAGTCATTTAGTCGTGTCCGACTCTTCGTGACCCCATGGACCAGAGCGCTCCAGGAACTCCTGTCTTCCACTGCCTCCCGCAGTTTGGTCAAACATGCTGGTAGCTTCGAGAACACTATCCAACCATCTCGTCCTCTGTCGCCCCCTTCTCCTTGTGCCCTCAATCCTTCCCAACATCAGGGTCTTTTCTCTTCTCATGAGGTGGCCAAAGTATTGGAGCCTCAGCTTCAGGATCTGTCCTTCCAGTGAGCACTCAGGGCTGATTTCCTTCAGAATGGATAGGTTTGATCTTCTTGCAGTCCTTGGGACTCTCAAGAGTCTCCTCCAGCACCATAATTCAAAAGCATCAATTCTTCGAAGCCTTCTTTATGGTCCAGCTCTCACTTCCATACATCACTACTGGAAAAACCATAGCTTTAACTATAAGGACCTTTGTTGGCAAGGTGATGTCTCTGCTTTTTAGGATGCTGTCTAGGTTTGTCACTGCTTTTCTCCCAAGAAGCAGGCGTCTTTTAATTTCGTGACTGCTGTCACCCTCTGCAGTGATCATGGAGCCCAAGCTTACAATTACCAAAGAGAGAGAGAGAGAGAGAGAGAGAGAGAGGAAAGAATAAAGCATCCCATAGTAACACAGGGAGCTGCTTTCTACTGAGTTGGATTGTTGCTTCATCTAGCTCAGTGCTGTCAACACTGACTGGCAGCAGCAGCTACTGTCTAGGGTTCCCTGCCTGGAAATGCCATTGGATATTGAACCTGGGGACTTCTGCAAGCCAAGCAGCTGTTCTGCCGCTGAGCTACAGCCCTTCCTCTGAAAATAAAGTAACATTCTAGTCCTCGTGATTTTAAAGGGAACATGTACATGAAAAAAGTGGTTGAGCAATTCAGACTGAAAATGTTGAATCAACCTTGCTTGCACACAACACTCCCCTCCTGTCCCATCGATAGGAGCTCTGTCTTTGCAGACTCCCAAAGTCACAGAGAATGCAACTTGTACCTACAGTCACCTTTCAAGTGAAATGAGATTTGAGCCAGGAATTTGTGGGAAAACCGCTCAATGGCACAGGGGCATTATGGTCTGGAGGGGCCCTTGAGAGTGACACCAAGGAAGGGAGTGGGCGGGCAAGGGGACCCTGCTTCACAGAAGTGTAGAGATGCCTGGAAGGGACCTGAAGTCTAGTCCAACGCCCTGGCTCTAGAACATTGGAGCCAACTCCTAGGGGCTGAGGTCCCTTCGCCCCCCAATAAAATATTTGAGCCCCCCCAAAGTTGATGGGCATTGCCATTCAAATGGTTTGCGTGCGGTACGTCATGTGGGGGGCAAGGCTTACCTGCCCCCCATATTTTATTCAAGTTGGAACCCCTGTTCTACCAAGGCGGTGACCTCCAGACGACGAGCCGGTATCTTTCCAGGGAACTTCAATGAGGTCGCACCAAAGGCAGGGTGACACCCCGCCCTCCGTAGCTTCCCGTCACTTTTAGCGCAAAAAACCCGGCCTTCGAGGAAGCGATTTCTTTGCGCAAGAGCGCGCCACTCGTTGTGCAACCTGAAGCGGAGGTGACCCCCAAGCCATCAGCCTCTCTGTCCTGGGGCTGCCCCCAAACACGAGGGGGTGTCCCGCCCCCGCCTCGCTTGACTTTCCTCGCCCGGTGGAAATTTTACTCTGGATGTAACTTTCCAGTTCCAGCTGTTTCCCTGGATCTGGCGAGGAAGGGGAACGAGAGGTCGACTCCTGCGGCGACGGCGACTCCTGCGCGGCCAGGCCAGGGCACTCTGCACGCGCTCAGAGGCGTCCTGCGGCCAGGAGAGGCGACGAAGGCGACAGCGGAGGAGGAGACCGGTTCCCGGAGTGGGAAGGGGGGGAGAGGAGTGAGTGGGGCGGGGGCTGGCTCGGTCCCAGGCGGGCGCTGTTGCTTAAAAGGCCGGCCGGCGAGGCGAGCGCGGCGCTGTCTCTGCCTCTGCGTCTCGGGATGCCGTCGCCGCCGCTGCTCCGCTCTCTGCTCCGCTGCAAGACCCTGGTCACGCTGGCCGGCGCCCCGCTCGCTCTCCTGCCGCTGCCGCTTCTCGTGCCCACCCAGGTCAGTCAGTCCAGCAGGCCGGCCAGCCCACCTAGTGGGCAGAGCGAGGTCCCTCTCCTGGCCAAGCGAAGGGGCGCCCCTCTTCCGCCAGTTCCTCTTGGGGTGGCACGTCGAGCCTCCCCGGACAGGAGCAGTCTACCGCCCAGGACCAACTTTTGGCCTGGCGCTGCCTCCGGCCCGGGCTGGCGCTTCTCTGCTGCTGCTGCTGGGGCCAGGCATAAGCGTCGCCTCGGCGGGAGAAGCCAAGCCACGCCAGCCAGGTCCAAACGGAGCGTCTCCAGAGGCCGCGGGGGTGTCCTTTTTGCAATCGCCCTTCCCGTCTCTTTCCTCGGGGGCGTCCTGGGGGTCCCTCAGCGGGCGTCTTCTGCCGACCACCAGCAACGCCCCCTCCCCACTCGGGCTCCCCCACCATCCTGCCTCCGACAGCGGAGGGAAGACCTGAGCCTCCCCCTCCCAGAGTGTCCAACCCCTCCGCCTCTTTGGGGGTATTGAAGACTCGGGAGGGAGGGGCCCCCGCCGCAAGAAGATGCGAGAGAGGGAGGGGAGGGGGACTGGGTGCCTGAACTGGGAGATGGCAGTCACCATCACCGCCACCTATAGGAGCAAAAAGGATTCAGACAAACCCAATGGAACCTCCATGTCTAGGGAGTGTATACCTGTAAATGCTAGGCACACCAGAGTTTTTTGGGGGGCTCGGTTTGTGGGCTTCCCGGAGGCACTTGGAAAACAGGAGGTAGCCCTAAGCAATTCCTGCGCTGAGGGACAAACACTCTGCATAAGCAGAGAGACATTCGGTTCATTTCTGGTACATGTCCCGGTCCGAGCGCTGACCCGATTCAAATCTGTTTCTGGCTCTAATGTAAGGTTACCAGATGTCCCCGTTTCCTGGGGACAGTCCCCGGATTTACAAATCAGTCCCCATACAAAATCCTATCATTCCTACTGAAGTTGAAAAGTGTCCCCGGATTCATGGGGGGGGGGGAATCTGGTAACCTTACTCTAACACTCAGTAGCAAGCGGAGATGGGGTTATGGAGGGAGGGAGAAAGAAAAGGATTTTCGGTGTGGTTTTGAAAGGGGGAAATCTCAGCAGCAGCCCTGTCAACTGGAAGGAGGAGCGCCAGTCCCAGCTCCAGATCGGCACCTTGAGAGGGGGCCGCCCACACTGAGCCCCCGCTCCGCCCCCATTGGTGGTTTTTCAACAGAGCTCAGATGGCCACCTGTCAGGGATTCTTTAGTTGAGATTCCTGCATTGCAGGGGGTGGGCCAGACGATCCTTGGGATCCCTTCCAACTCTCCAGTTCTAAGATTCTAAGGAAAGGGTTACACAGATGCATCCGGCACGCGCTTCAAGAGCTGCCCAGGAGGGTGGCAAGCTGTGTGCCCAGTGGGGAGCGGATTCTGCCTGCGTTCCCCACAATGCTATTTGGGTCCTGTGGGGTGTTGGGCAGCCTGAACCGACCAACAATGTCTGCACAGGCAACTCTACTAAATCTCGTCCATCCCATTGACAGATGCAGCTTTAAGTACTGAGTCGCCAGCAGTTCCCCCAGTGCTTTCATGATTCCAATATTCTATTTATCTGCGCAAGCCGAGAAGGTGTCCCTCCTTTCCTTTCTTCTAGACTGCAGCTGCAGTTAATTTCTAAGCCTGGTTGTATTCTTGAACTTTAAAGAAATGATTTACTCCAAGCGGGTCAGGAGGGCATTGGCTGGTGCTGGGTGGAAGGATGCAAGCTGACCCAGGATGCCGAGAGCACTAGGCGCTTCTTCAGGCAGAGGGAGGGCGTGGGAGGTCACCCTGGACATTTGGACATTTCCCCTTTGCCCATATTAGGTGGTGATGGCGGGCCTGGGAGGCGGGAGAGGGCAGGAACCAGGCACCAAAGGGTTAAAGTGGCCAGAAACATTAGGAAGGACCTCCTGACTGTCCAAGCTGCTCAACACCTACTCCAAGACTGCTTGGGAAGGTAATGGGCTCTCCTTGCTTAGAGGCTTCAGGGATGCTCTGGCAGTGTGGGTTACCATATATATATATGAATAAGACTCAGCTATACAGCTGCAAATATAACATTTTACATGCATTATACAAATGTGACACTAGATGGCGATGGTGAGCTAATGGCAAATTCAATATCTATTTTTAAAATGTTTTTTAAAAAAGCATTTTCACTGTGTGTTTTAAATATATGTATGTCCAGATCCAGCCAGAGAGAGGCTTAGACCTTACAAGCTTCCTTGGTCTTCCTATCTGTACTGTACATGTCTGGCTTTTTTGTTTTTTTAAACGTGTGCTAAAATATTGCTGCCTTGTCATGCTCGCTTCACTCCCCTGAGGGACATTTGCAGTCGTTCTGGACCCCTTGACACTCTCCCTCCCAACTTTCAGATAAAAGGAAGTCCTTCTTCATGCAGTGCAGAGTTAAATTATGGAACTCCTGCCCACAGGAGGCAGTGATGACTACCAGCCTGGATGGTAAAAAAATATGGAGGAGAGGGCTATTGATGGCTACTATCCATGATGGCCACGCTCTGCCTTCCACAGTTGGAGGCAGCAGTGCTTCTGAATACCAGCTTCTGGGAACTACAGGAGGGGAGAGGGCTCTTGTGTTCGAATTCTGCTTGAGGGCTTCCCATTGGGGCACCTGGTTGGGTCACTGTGAGAACAGGAGGCTGAACAAGATGGCCTCATTCTGCAGCCAGGCACTTTTGATGTGCTTCTGGGAGATGGATGGGCATCTCCTAAGAATTTCCTTCACTCTTAGCAAACTACAGTTCCTGGGATTCTTTGAGGGAAGCCATGTCTGTTAACAGCAGTATAAAATCGATCTAAATGTGGAGGGTGGCTGAAGCCAAGTTACAGGGAACCAGGCAGAGGGCCTTTTCGGTAGTGGCACCCGCCCTGTGGAACGCCCTCCCACAAGATATCAAAGAGAAAAATAACTACCAAACTTTTAGAAGACATCTGAAGGCAGCGCTGTTTAAGGGAAGCTTTTAATGTTTAATAGGTTATTGTATTTTAGTGTTTTGTTGGAAGCCACCCAGAGTGGCTGGGGAAACCCAGCCAGATGGGCGGGGTTTAAATAATAAATTGTTGTTGTTGTTGTTAGTTATCGTACAATAAAAAGGCCACTCGCCCCATGCAGACAGGTCTGGACCAATGTGAAATTTGACACACACACCCGCTCCTTTTTTTTTTTTTTAAGAGGCGTCTTGTGGGTGAGCAGGTCTGCTGGTTGCCCTGTGTTCTGGCAAACAGTCATTTTGGGCACAATCAAATGGAGAGGCAATGAGGTGTTTGCCCCAAAGATCCCCTGTTGACAAGATGTTAAATGGCCCCGTCTTCCCACAGGAAAATTGACTTGACAAATTCTAGGCCATTTCAGCCTCTCATTAGCAGTTTGATCTGGCCTGTTTACGCAACATTAATCCAGAGAGTCTGGCTTGTGGTTGCCGTAATTGTGGTTTGGTGGAGATTCATTCCAATTACGGACTGTCAGAGGAGTGATTAACTCTCCTGCATTGTGGTAGTTGTAAATTTTTATGCGAGGGACATTTTGGTTCTAGTGACACCCCTATCCTTGCTCTTGGAGTCACTGAATGAGTGTGGGTCTCTTTCCTCCTCCCTCCCACCAGCCAGTCCACTCAGCTCCTTTTCTGCCTGTGCAAATTGAATTCAGTGTGCACCTAAAGGCAGCCTCACCTAATTCTAGTTTTCTGAAACAATTTACAAACTGAAACACAGAACCCGCTTTCAACATGTGCACCTCTGAATTTTGCAATGTACCAGTTCTCCAGCCATTATATTAGGGGAAATTGTTCTGCAAAATATTAGGCACCACTGCATACCAAAATGTGTATATTTTGATATAATAACACTTAATGCTGATGAATTTTAAGGAGGACTTTAAAAAAAATGAAAATTGCAAACTGATGTGGCAGTGTGGAGAACTGAAGAGTGGAAAATGAGCTGAAATGGCAGGTTCTCCCATGCCTCCTGAATCTGCTAGGAGCCTGCTCTTTTTTGCACTGATTTCTGAATCAGGCCAGAGCTGGCGCTGCCATTAGGCAGAGTGAGGCAGTGGCCTCAGGAGGCAGATTCTAGGGAGCAGGGAGCAGGGAACAACAACCAAATGTCAGAAGGCAGAATGTTGTGTGTGGCACAGGATCTTCTCCCCTGGATGTCAGCAATGTGGGCTCCCAGAGCACAGGGGATAAGTTAGACTCAGAGAGTGAATTAAGTGAATGAAGGACTGGCTCTGTAGATGAGATGAGAACTGACTGTCAGAGTTGAGAAAGGGCAGTTTGACACACACACCCCTTGCTAGAGAAGACTCTATTAGCTCTCATGGAGAGGAAGAGTTGGAAGGCAGCCAGAGTGCTGCTAGGCAATCAGCAGATAAGCAGAGGTCTGTGTCCAGGTCAAGTGAGAGTGAGGAGTGGGGTGGTCAGCTGTCCTTGATCCAGGCATCTGGATAAAATCAGATGGCATCTCCAGGTGGGATGGGGAGAAACTCCCTGCTGGAACCCCTGGAGAGCAGCTGCTGCCAGTCAGTGTGGGCAATGCTGAGCTAGCTGGATCAATGTTCCTACAAACTTCAAGTCTTAGTGTCTTGGGCCTTTTGAAAAAAGAATCCCCCAACGTGTTCAGTACCACAACAGCTGTGGGCAGGCAGTTATTTGGAGAGCGGGGCTGGCAGCGAACCCAGGGAACACACAGGCAAAGGTTTACGAAGACCAGTGATTTCATCAATCAAGCCTCTTCCTGGCAAATCTGGGAAACTGGAATGCATGTCCAGTTCCCAAAATGTGGGGTGCACCAGTTGAACCCATCCCAGTGTCTCCTGAGGAAGCTGAGCCTCTGGTCCAGCCATTTGGGCAAGGAGGGTTCCTGGGCCCTGAGGCATTCCTGCTTGTGTCCTGCATTAGAGGAAGATGGAATAGAGAATGCTTTGAGTCTCTCCTAAACGTGCAATTCTACAGTTCTGTGAGTCTGTGATCACTGGGCCTGATGGAACTCTCCCTCCCTCCCTCTCTCTTTTCCCTCCTTGCAGGAGGCCAGGTGTGGCTATGTGATCATCCTCATGGCTGTGTACTGGTGCACAGAGGTGATCCCTTTGGCAGTCACCGCCCTCCTGCCTGTCATCCTGTTCCCGATGTTTGGCATCCTGGAGTCCAAAAAGGTAAGTCTCAAGGGCAGCAGAGGAGCAAGGAAAGTTCTAATTCTTCCTCTTCTACTGCCTGGAAGCCGGAAGCTTTTTTGAGACTGAGCAAAATCCAACAACTGAGCTCAGGAATTCAGAGGACAACAGGGAGGCTGGGCAGGAGCAGAATTAGACCCATATACACAGCCAGGTTAGCACTTGAATGGGGCAGAACCAAGAGGGAGGCTGCGGGCTGGATTGGGCCCTGAAAAAGACGAGCTGAGCCACTGTGCAAGCAGGGGGCATCCTGGGAAGGGAAATGCACTCTGTGCATGCCCAGAGGTGACTGCAAGGACTATAGGCATTCCAGACCTCAAAGAAGCCCTGATGCCAGAGTACAGAGGGTGGGTGTTGGGAGAGGGGGGAGGGAGCCCTCCCCAGAGAGGCAGGGAGTCGGGGAAGGCAACCAAGCCAGCCACCATGAAGCTGTACCCTCTGTGACAACGGCAGCCAAAAGGGACCAAAAGTTATGCCTCCTTCATTTCCCTGCTGACTTCCCAGGTGTGCATGCAGTACCTGAAAGACACCAACATGCTCTTTGTGGGGGGCCTGATCGTGGCCGTCGCTGTGGAACACTGGAACCTGCACAAGCGGATTGCCCTGAGGGTGCTGCTGATTGTCGGGGTGAAACCTGCCCTGTAAGTGACTCCTGTCTAACCACCCCAACATCCCAAGTGAAACCAAGTGGGGTGATAGCTGAGCTTCTAATGCAGTGTGTGTGTCTGGGGGGGGGGTTATACTGGGTCAGGCTTACATGTAACACTCGTCACATGCTCAGAGGGCCTCCTTTCACAACTGCTGCTTGGGCATGCGGACCAGTACATTGTCCCAGGAGGCACACTATCCCATTTATTTATCCGTTTCACAAAATTTGTACACAACTCTTGATAGTTCCCCCCCCCTTAAAAAAAACATCAAAGTGATGTGCATAAAAGTCAAAACAATGAAATTAAAAATAAGTAAAAAATAACAGCAATACTTTCAGGCTTTTGAGAAGTTAAAATAACAATAGACTGAAAACGGGTGTAAAAATTGCATTGGCTTTCTAAGCATGGCATAGGCTTGTCATGTGTGCTGCCAGATCTGTAGACCCACCTTTGAGGGTGGGGGGCAGCTTCAGCTGAGCTCTACAGGGGGCCTATCCAGCACAAAGCCCCTGCCGCAGCCAGGTTGCCCTTTCCTGGCTCTGGGGTGAAACCTGCATGATTTCCCCCAACCTATCCACCCAACCTCAGGTGTATGTTTTGTTTTTTTGGGAGTGGGTGGGAGTCAAGGTATTTAAATGTCCTCTGCTTGGTCACCTTGGGCCGATCCTTGGTCACCCCAAGCGACCACCTGGCAAGCCTCCCTCTCTCCTCCCCGCCTGCCTCTGTCCTCCTTGCAGGCTGATGTTGGGCTTCATGGGGGTCACAGCCTTCCTTTCCATGTGGATCAGCAACACGGCCACCACCGCCATGATGGTTCCCATAGTCCAGGCGGTCCTGGACCAGATGAACAGCTCTGAGCAGGATCTGGCCGTCATGGAGTCTGCAGCTGCTGGGCAGCACAGCACCCCCAAGGGTGAACTGGAAGGGAAGGTGGCTGCCTTGGGGGTCTCCACAGTGCAGGGTAAGTGGGCGACAGCTGCAAGGAATCGTGGGGCGGTGGGGACGGGGAGCAATGGTTAAAAAATAAATAAAATTTCTCAACCTCATTGTCAAGGCTTCAGGGAATCCTATCCCTCTCACGGTAGGATGCCGAGAAATGGAGAAACAAAAAGAGTTCTTACCATCTAGGTTATTCAATATTCACAGAGAGAGACAGAAGAATGCAGTTTCTCTCAGTGAATGGCGTTGCTCCAAGTAAAATCCCACCCCCTCAGTCCCTCCTGTTCTACGGCACCCCTGTATTTTCTGCCTCTGAGTTTTCTGTTCTATTACTCTCAAGGCATGCCTTGTTCTGGGGGATGGGGGGTCAGGAATGCTTTCAAGAGACACTGAGTCTGTTAGCTGTCTCTCCCCTGGTGTTTCTTCTTCCTGCTGCCCCCCCATATTTCCCAGCTTCTCCCCTCTGCAGCCTCTGAACTATGACCTTCTGCAAACCACTGTTCTAAATCTACACTGTCCTCCTCTTTTCGGGAAGGTGTAGGAAAAGGGGGGGACTGTTCCCACCTCCTCAGTCCAGCCCCTGACACTCATGTGGAATTCTCAGCATTAGATTTTTAAAAATCATTTATTTCACATGTTTATAAACCACTGCATGGTCTAAGGCCATCAGAGGTGTGCACAAGACTAAACTGAATTGAAACCCAGAGTTGACTCCAACTCAGAAGAGCAGACCTCTTGAAAGTACAAAGATCAGAAGAGCCTGCTGGATCAGACCAGTGGCTCATCTTGTCCCGCATCCTGTTCTCACAGGGGGGAACCAGATGCCCATTATGGAAAACCTGCAAGCAGGACTGAGCACAAGAGCACTCCCCCCCTCCTGCCATTTTCAGCAGCTGGTATTCAGAAGCATTGCTGCCTCCAACTGTGGACGCCAGAGCACAGTCAGTATGGCTCATAGCAGTCTCCAGACAGCTGCTAATTGCCATTGATAGCCCTCTCCCGCATGCATCTGAAATTAGCATTATTTAGCCATGTCTATCAGTTTCAGTGGGTCTGCTGAGTAGGGCGAACACTGCCTACAACCCGCCAATTCTAAAAAGAGCGAAAGCCATGTCTGCGAGTTCTAAGCATGGTGAAAAGCATTCCTATGAATTCTAAAAACGACAGGCACTTCTGAACTGCCCCCGTTTCCCGCTGGAATTCAATCCCATAATAACCGGCAAATTGCAGGTTGTGCAATTCCAATTGATTGGCAGCTCTTGTGCCACAAACCTGCGTCCCCTGAAGAAGGAGGTTTTTCCTGCAATAAGGGAAGTGATGGGAAAATGGCCCGGAAAGTTTGCTTTGATGCAATCGTCTCCTCCGTCAACAAATCGGAGCGAAGGCTCAACTCGGCAGCCAAAATTGTCTAATCTCTCTGCAAAGAAATCAGGATGAGCACTCTATAAAGAGGGCAAGTGGGAGCTACCTGGAGAGGCCAGGGATGGAAGGAGAGGCTACCTGTACGTGAAACAGCTCGCAGTCTTGTGATGCATGGGGGCAGCTACTAGTTTTCATCTGGTTTTTTATTTTATTTTAAAAAGGAGTAGACAAATCTGTTAGCCATGACAGCTGAAAGGGCCCTCCGTGTCAATAAGAGATACTGCGGGCAGGTAAAAGGTGTAGACTTCCATGTTCACATCCCTCGTCATGACCAGGGACCTAACTCCACATTCTGCACCCATGTCAAGAGATTATTATTATTATTTTTTAAATGCAATCCTTAGCATAGGAGGAGCTAATTTGAAGAACACTACTGATAACAGTTTTAATAAATTTTAGAAAGCCAATGCAAGTTTTAATCTGGTTTCAGCCTGTTGTTTTTGAAAGTTTTGAATGGTTATCTTGCTGATAATTTTTATTGTTTTTATCATTTTTGTAAACTGCTTTGAGGCTTTAAAAAACAACAACAACTGCAATCAAATGGTGTAGTATACGTTTTATGAAATAAATAAATAATAAAATGCATACGCCAGCCGTCTTCCAAGAAATACACAGCTCTCCCTCTCCTCATTTTGCCCTCTGTGGTAGATTAGGCTGAGCTTTGTGTGGCTGAGTAAGGATTCGAACTCTGTCCTCCCAGGTCCTCCTAGTCCAACACTCCACAAGTGCTGCTCCACATTGCAAGGAGAGGCTTAGCCCTTTCTTCCCCAGCCACAATCTCAATAAAAGAGTCAGCTCCCCCCATGCAGCAATCGGCGATAGGAAAAAGCTTCTCATAGTGCCAAGAGGGACCCTTAGGTTAGCAGACTTGGCTGCCTCTGTATCTTGATTTTCATCAGGTTCATGGCTGCGGAAGGGAAGGGTTAAACCTTCCCCTCCAAGTGCAAAAAAAAAAAAAAAATCAGCCCCAATGATTTATTTATTTTTTAATGCCCCTAATGTGAACCACACAATTAACAGTAACTCTCTGTAGTTTTCTCTTCCAGAGGTACCTGGGCAGCTGCTTAGCTGCTGCCTGGAGGCTGTTAAAAGCCATAGTGGCTGTGCTCTGCCTTGCAGTTGGAGACAGCAATGCTTGTGAATGCCAGTTGCTGAAAGCCACAGGAAAAGAGAGGGCTCTTGTGCTTGAATCCCAATAGGGCTAACTGGGTGGCCACTGTGAGAACAGGTTGCTGGACTAGAAGGGCCTCCTTGGGTCTGATGCAGCCGGGCTCTTCACATGTTCTTATGCTGAACCAGGTGGGTCTCTCCTGAGCCAGTACAGCGCACAGCGCACCACTTGCACCTTGAGGGCTCACTCTGGTCTCTTTCTCCCACCCACCTGGTGTCGCATTGCAATCAAAGGCCAAATCAGCTTTGTCTCCTTCCAGTGAGGCTGCATTTTAATGTTGTGTTTTAATCTTGTTTTCTAAGTTGTATTTCAATCATTTTTATATCTGGTGTTAGCCGCCCTGAGCCCGGTCTTGGCTGGGGAGGGCGGGGTATAAATAAAATTTATTATTATTATTATTATTATTATTAGTTGCAGGCAATGGGCACTTGCCGGACAGCTCCAAGAAGTGCGAGAGGGAGACCAAGAAGAGAATCAACAAAGGGATGACCCTCTGTGTCTGCTATGCTGCCAGCATCGGAGGGACAGCAACCCTGACCGGAACGGGGCCAAACCTGGTCCTCAAAGGTCAGATGAACCAGTAAGTCTCTACCGCACCCACAACATGACACACAGCAAAGGCTGGACTCTGCTGTGCGGCTCTTTTATTGAAACCAAAACAGTGTGGCGTGGTTTTTTTCTTGGTGTCATCGGGCTGAAAGGGGGGCTGTGTTTCGTTCAGCCCTCTTGGTCACTTGCTGTGTTACTCCTAAACAATCCAAGCTGGGGTTCTCCTGGAACAGGCCTCCCCCACCCTGCTCCTGATGACCTCCACATTGCTCTCCTATCGGCCTATTCTGCCTTGGTCAGACACCACCTAAATTTTTGTGTCCAGGTTAAAGGCTGGATCTAGACACATCAAGAAATCATTTTAGGGAAACGCGTTGTAAACTGCACAATGGGAAATTGCCTTGGCAAAAGGCGGGGCTCCACAGCGCCATCTGGTGACACAGTGTTATAACGCTTATAAAACACTTTTTCTTTGTGTGGCTGAGTCCTAAGAAGGATATTGGCAAGCTGGAATGTGTGTAGGGAGGGAAGCCAGAATGATCCAAGGTCTAGAAACTAAACCTTACGAGGAAAGGTTGAGGGAGCTAGAAATGTTTATCCTGGAGAAGGGGAGACTGAGTGGGGATGTGAGAGCCGTCTTCAGATATCTGAAGGGCTGCCACCTGGATTCATAGAGTTCTTTGAATTATAGTTGGAAGGGGCCACAAGAGTCTTCTAGTCCAACCCGATGCAATGCAGGAATATTTCACCCGACGTGGGGCTTGAACCAACGACCCTAGGATCGAGGGTTTCATGTTCTACCATTCAGAGCCATATAGATGGAGCAGGCTTGTTTTCTGCTGCTCCAGAGGGGAGGATCCAAAACAACAAATTCAACTGACAAAAAATGAGATTCCGACTCAAAATTAGGAAGAACTTTCTGAGGATAACAACTGGATCAGGCTCTTTGGAAGCTAGTGGCCTCTTCTTCAATGGAAGTTTTGAAAGAGAGGTTGGATCTGTCAGGCATCCTTTAGTTGTGATTCCTGCCTTGCTGGGCAGGGGGTCAGACTAGATGGCCCTTAGGGGAACCCCTCCAGCTCTACATTCTACGATTCTGTGATTCTAGGCTTTTTAACCATTTCTTCCTCCTCCTAGGTTGTTCCCTGAGAACGGCGACATCTTGAACTTTGCCTCCTGGTTCGGCTTCGCCTTCCCGAACATGCTCCTGATGCTGACGCTCGCCTGGTTCTGGCTCCAGGTCTCCTTCATGGGGTTCAAGTAAGGGCTCTGCACCTTTGGGTGGGCTGGTGGATAAGGTGGCCCTGCTTCGTCCGGGGCTGGGGCACCTGGGGCAGCCCTCAGCCATCCAGATCTTCCTGGACTCCTTGTCCCTGACCTCTGGCCTGGCTGGCTGCTTCTGGGCCTTGCTGGGAGTCCAGCAAACAGAAGACCATCAGAAGAGCCCTGCTGGATCAGGCCCATGACCCATCTTGTCCAGCATCCTGTGGCCAACCAGATGCCCCAATGGGAAACTGGCAGACAGAACATGAGCACATGAATCCTCTCCCCACCGGTGGTTTCCTGCAACTCATGGAGGAGAGGGAAATTGAAGGCTACTAGCCATAGTGGCTAAAAGCCTTCAGCTGCTTTTCACCCTATAGGGGCCTCATTGTGTAAACATAAACTCCCATCAATTGTGTAAACACACTCCCATCAATGCGCTTTCCCCATTGTGCCTCTCTGAAGGGCCAGTAATGGTGCAGAGGTTAGAGGGCCAACTAAGGTGGGAGAGACTAGGGTTCAAATCCGCCCCCCACTTGGCCTTGAAGCTCACTGTGGGCCAGTCACTGTCTCTCTCAGTTTAACCTACCTTGCAGGGGTGTCGTGAAAGTGGCAGGGAAGAGCCATGTAAGCCGCCTAGAGCTCCTTGGAGAAACAAGCACATTTCCCTGATCATGGCTGCTCTGCCATGCCACCTGCGGCTTTGCTCTGGCCACGACCTGCGCCACCCCAGCTTGGCTCTCTCCTGGAGCCTCCAGCACCTCTTGTGAATGCCCTTTCCAGGTGTTTCTGTGTTCAGATCTTTCTCCCCCTCTGGGTGTCCTGTTGAGCTCACAGCCAGCCCGCCACAGACAACAAACACAAATGTGCCGAGTTCCCAAGTTGCGCCACGTGCCCGGTTGTGGGACCCTCCCCTCCCCTCCCTCCGTGCTGAATCCCCCAGGTTGCAACCCAAAAGGTCAGCCTGCTAGAGTGGTTACCTGGCAGTCTACTTGGCCCTCTGCCTTGACCACCCTGCTCCTTCTTTCCAGCTTCCGGAAGACCTGGGGCTGTGGGACCCAGAGGACCGAAAAGGAGCAGGCCGCCTTGCGGGTGCTGAAAGAGGAGCACCGGAAGCTGGGGCCCATCTCCTTTGCAGAGTTCAACGTGCTGCTGGCCTTCACCCTGCTCATCCTCCTCTGGTTCACCAGGGACCCTGGATTCATCCCCGGTTGGGCCACCACCCTCTTCAACAAGGACAAGGAGTGAGTGGGCTTTGTTCTTCCTCTTGCCAGCCATTTTGCTGACCAGTGATGCTACCCGTGTGGTGTTTTGTATTTGGGGGGGGGTCCCCAATAGCACCAGGCTTAGGGCACTCAAGTGCCTTCAAGGCAAGCGGCTCAGGGCAGGATTGCTTGCAGTGAAGAGTCTCCTCCTCCTTGTGCTGGGATGTTCCAGGTTCGAATCCCTGCTCGTCTGGGAGACTCTGGGAGTGGCCCGGAGGAAATCTTGCTTGTGCAAGAAATTTGGGAGGTTAAATGGGAGAATCTGAGCACCTTGGAGGGACCCAAGAAGAGCCCTGTTGGATTAGGCCAATGGTCTATTTAGTCTGGCTTCCTGTCCTCACAGTGGCCAGGTACCCCTAAAAGCCTAGGGATCAAGATAGACTGCACCTGCACCTGGAGGTTCCCTCAGAACCTTTTTCTGTGCCATGCATAATTTCACAAACTGCTATCATGTTGCCTCTTACTTGCTTTATCTCTATACTAAAAAGTCGCAACCGTTCTTCATAAGGGAGTTGCTCCATCCCTTTGATCATCTGAGTTGCCTTTTTCCAACTCTGCAATATCCTTTTTGAAAGGACTCCTGGGAGAGGCCCAGAGAGGGATGTTCATCTCTCTCCTGGGAGCTCATGTTCCCTCTGGGGTATGTGTGTGGGGTGTGTGTGTGTGCTGCTGCCTGGAGGTTTGAGGCATTCAACTGGCTGACCTGTTGCTTTTGGGACTGAGCGAGGGGAATGGGACACTGCTGCCACCACCTCCTCCTCATTCTTCATCTTTCCAAATGTGTCCCAGGTATGTGACGGATGCCACTGTGGCCATCTTCGTGGCCTTTCTCCTGTTCATCCTTCCTGCCACCAGGCCCAGGTGTGGCTTCTGCAGTCATAGCAGCTGCGACCTAGAAGAGGCGGAGGAAGGTAAAGGAAGGCGGAGACCCCCCCCCCCAGGGCCTTCGAGGAGGCTGGACAAAAGAGACAGACCAGGAGGGGCGTGCTGGGTTCTGCCAGTATTTCATAGCATTGTAGGATTGGAAGGTACCCCCAAAGGTCATCCAGTCCAACCCTCTCAATGCAGGAATCCCAGCCGAAGCATCCCTGGCAGGTGGCCATTCAACTTCTCCCATGGAGGAGAGTTGGCCACCTTCTTCCCCTATTCAACAGCTCCTACCCTATAAAGTTATTTCGATCTCTGTGTGACCCTTGCCATGGCATCCAGCCTGCTGGCAGCCTCCTGCTGGTGCCAGCTCCGTGGTGGGTGGGTGGGTGTCCTCGCTGGCCCCTGCTTTGCCTCCCCCCCCTCACACCCAACTTCTCTTGGACTCTCTCCGCAGCTATGAAGGAGCCCTTTTTCCCTGCCCCGTTGCTGAACTGGAAGGTGGTCCAGCATAAGATGCCATGGAGCATCGTGCTGCTTCTTGGAGGAGGCTTCGCCCTGGCCAACGGGAGCGACGTAAGTCCTTGGCGGTGACAGGAGGTGTGGGGAGGCTGGCTGGTCGTGGGCATCAGAGAGCACTGCCAAACCTGGACCTTTGCCACCCAACTTTGGAGGCATGCATTTCACGTGTGGCTCCCTCCACAGTGGCAGCGTCGTTGAATATGTCTCCCTGTGTGTAAATAAAGGCTGTGGGACAGCCAAAGGGTGCCTCTAGCCACACGCAGAGTGCACTACCCTTTCCTAGTATGTGAGCTCCTGTAATGTCTGGAATTGTGGGAGGGAGCAGGGCCTATGAACTTCGAGGCAAGTCTTGAGTGTGGCCTCTCTCATTTTTGGAAAACGTATTCCATTCAAAAGCTTGAGCAGGAAGGGAAAGGCTTCTGGGAAATCCTTGCAAACAATTTATTTATTTATCTCCCTGTCCTCATTTAATCCCCGCAAGAGCCCTGTGGGGTAGGCTAGGCTAAGGGGCAGCTCACCCAGTGAACTCCACGGCCGAGTGGAGGGGATTTGAACCCAGGGCTCTCCCAGGTCCTAGTCCAATGCTCTAACCACTACAGCTCTAAGGTGGCTGTAGTGAGGCCTCCTCCTTAAGCCATGGGGAGTGGGGAATTTGAGGGGCCTCTGCCTGAGCTGAGCCTGACCCCCACCGCAGTAGCCAGTACCCAGTCTCTCTGGCAACACTAGAAGCATGCCAGGGCTGGCTGTTCTCCAGCTCAGAGGCCACCGTCAATTGCGCCAAGCGAACCGCAGCGCTGGTGGGGCAGGCTGTGCCCCATGGCAGAGAATGGTGCAGCAGGTTGCAGACCTGTGCTCTGAGCTGACCTTCCCCCTGTTCCATCCGGGGCTCTTGCTGTTTTTCTGGCTTTGGGGTGATGGGGGGGGAATGTGCCCTCCACAATACCACTTGGCACTAGAGCCCCCTCCTGCCACTGCCAGCTGCATTCTGGTGTCCCCAGGAGAAGGGAGGACTTGACCTAGTTTCAACTCGCTCGGAAATGGCTGCAGATTCTCTCCCTGGTCATATTGAGCACCACTCCAAATGATAGGTTTAAATGCAAAAAAACCTCCACCCCGCCAGCCATTCAGCAGCCCGTCCGGAACAAGCCTCTCTTGTCCTCCCCAGAAGAACTTGGCCTGAGCCAAGCCCTGCCGGGCTCAGACAAAGAGGGTGCTGTGCGCTGCCCAACCTGCCGGCCTCATCCATGCATTGGAAAAGAGGCCTATTCAGCAGCAGCAGAACAGCAGCGTGCAGGACTTGGCCCTGCTAAGCTGGTTCCTGCTCAAATCCTTAGGTCGTCCTCTTATATACCTGCTGGGATTGACAAGGCATCTGACCCTCACCTGAATCTCATAGCTCTCCTGTAGCTGCCTCTGATTAGTTATCATTTAACTCTTGGGGGAAATAATTAGCATCACACGTCATGTGCGTGGAAGTTGCCGAACCAATTAACCAACTAGAAGGATTTACTGTTAATAGCACCAGTTTTCCTATAACTTGATATTGCTGGATTTTGATGAACTGCAAAAGCATTTTTAGTTTGCTTTCTGTTGCCACCCTGGAACTTTTATTTGTTAGTGCCACCTGGTTTTGTACGATTCCTTGCAAATGAAGGGGGAATCGGGAACTGGACCCCCATTTCTAATGTGGGGAGGGGCCCCAATTCAGTAAGATGCTCTCTAGCTCAAGAGGAGACCTGCATGGATCCCTCCCCTGGGATGAGGCTCCTGTGTGCATTGCCGGAGCTGTCTGAAGACAGGAAATGCTTCCGGATCCCAGTTGCTGGAAGGAGCGGGAGAGAAGAGTTTTGCTCTTGTGTTCAAATCTTTATTGTGGGCTTCCTTTTAAGGCACCTGATTGGCCCCTGTGAGAACAGTATGCGGGACTAGATGGGCCACTAGCCTAACTCCGCAGGGCTTTTCTTATGGAGGTTTATTGTGAGAGCAGAACCTCCATGCCCAGGGATAGTCTACCTCTGAATGCTAGATCATGGGGAACAACAACTGGAGAGTGCTTATCTGCTTGGGTCCTGCTTGCTAGTTTCCCATATTTGGTATCTGGTTGGACACTGTGAGAACAGGATACTGGGCTAGATGGGCCACTGGCCTGATCCAGCAGCAGTCTTAAGCATTTTGTGGGTTTTGCAAAGACCTACATGGGCCCCAAAGGGTTAAGGCCACCCCCCCCTCAGTGGTTGGACAAATACAATAGATTGTCAGAGACCACAGCGGTGGTGCCCCCCCCCAGTATTGTCATGGACTGGCTGGATACAAGGAAAGTGGTGGGAGGCCCCAGCTGGGAACCCCCAGGGGAAGAAGGCTCAGATGGTGTTGGGATGCCAATGAGAGTCAGAGGGAGAAGAGGGAGCAGACTGGGGGGAGGAGGTGTTGGAAGCAGAAGAGGCAACAGAGTTTAGTGAGCAGGAAGAGGCTGTGGCAGAGAGCAGTCCGGACTCAGGGGCAGAAGAGGAGGCTGGAGAGAAGGAGGGCCTAGAGGCAGAGATGAATCAAGCTGCTGAAGAAGCCAGGGAGACTCCCCCTCCTGCTGCGACCAGCTCCCCTCTTTGCGGGTCTCCTAGAACACAAAGAGACAAGAAAAGAGCAGAGCAGAGATTGGTTGTGCGCAGGCGCAGTCTAAGACTACCTGGGAAGTCAGGGAGAGGAGGAGACATAGAAGGTGGTGAGAGGCAGGGGCCTTCAGCTCTCACAACTGCCTTACTGGAGCAGGACCTACTGGGAAGAGCTACTGGGATCTGTTTTGGTTTCTTGAATACAGAGTTCATTTCACTGACACCATGTTTTGCTTTGATCGCTGACCAACGCTTGACTTCAGCACCAGACAATATTCTCTTTCTCTGCTCTTGCCCCACAACTCCAGGCTTCAGGGCTTTCCAAATGGCTGGGTGACCAGATGACCCCTCTGCACAGTGTCCCCCCCTGGGCCATCGCCATCATCCTCTCCCTGGTCATTGCCATCTTCACCGAATGCACCAGCAACGTGGCCACCGCTACCCTCTTCCTGCCAGTCTTCGCCTCCCTGGTAAGGGAGCTTTCCTCCTTACTGATTTTTATTCCTCGTTGTGGCTCAACACATGACAACCCTCAGCCTAGCTCGTAAGGATTAAAACAAGGGAAACCAAGGTGGAATGGAGGGTTCTGGCCTCCCACACACTGATGGCCGGCCAGGGTTCCAGCAAGGTTCACATTTAGGCCCAGCTGAATAAGTTTCGAGGGCTAGGACCTAGATTAGGACTGTTACTATCTCAAGTATCCATGCCAAGTATCAGGCGACAGGTCTCTGCCCCACAAGCATACAGTTGTCTGGCAAATTTGTTTAGAAAGCCTGGAAAAGAGGAGATAGGAGAGCCATCTTCAAATATCACCTGGAGGATGGAGCAGACTTGTTTTCTGGGAGGACCAAATCCAACAGATTCAAATGACTAGAAAGGAGATTCCAACTAAACTCTAGGAATGACTTTCTGATGTGAAGAGCTGTTTGATGGTGGAAAGGACTCTCTCAGGAGTTGGTGGGCTTTCATTCATGGGGGTTTTTTCAAGCAGAGGTTGGAGGACCACCTGTCAGGGGTGATTTAGTTGTGACTCCTGCATTGCAGGCAGTTTTGACGAGATGACGCTGGGGTCCCTTCCAGCCCCATGATTCTCTGCTCTCTTTCTCTCCAGTCGCAGTCCATCGAGGTCAACCCCCTCTACATCATGATTCCCTGCACCCTCAGCGCCTCGTTTGCCTTCATGCTACCCGTGGCCACCCCTCCCAATGCCATCGTATTCTCCTATGGACACCTCCGTGTCTCAGACATGGTAAGGGGGCAGCTTTGCTGTTGCTCAGGCCTCCCCCAGCCTCCCCAAAGGCTGCTCTCTGTGGGTGCTGCTAAGAAGCCAAACCTCTAGATCAGTGGTTCCCAAAGTGGGAGGTACCACTCCCCTGGGTGATAGGGGTTCCTGGGGGGGGGGTTCATTTGATTTTGAAGAAATCATGGAATTGTAGAGTTAGAGGGGACCTCCGAAGGTCATCTAGTCCAACCCCCTGCGGTCATCTCGGCTGCCTCCCTGCTTGGCTTAGGTCTCTAAGATTTCTTGTTGTGTGTGTGTGTGCAAGGAAAGGAAATATCTAGAGCATTTGTACAATTGATTGCTACTGTTTTGAATTTATTATCTTCCTTAGTAGGTCACACAAACCGTTATTCTGAATAATGCTTTCTGTAGGGTAGGGAGGCACTGGGGAGGTGTTTATGGAACCAAGTGGGCGATGTCCCCCCTCCCAAAAAAGGTTAGGAAACCACTTCTCTTTATGTTTTGGACTACAACTCCCATCAGCCCTTGCAGCCAGCACACCATATTAGAATAAATAATACTTGCCCACTGGGGTTTATAGGAACTGTAGCCCAAAACATTTGGGTTGGGGAAGGCTGCTTTAAGGGGACGTTAATGTCTCCTGTCGATTGTGACGAATCTTAAAACAGCTGCTGTGGGGCTCAGCTTAAGGCTGAGCAGGCAAGAAGGCCTTGGGGCTGGTATGGAGGAATCCCAGTGGGCCTGACCAAGATGATACAACTGAGTGCATTGACTGATGGTAATCGGCAGATGTTTCCCAAACTTGGGTCTCCAGCTGTTTTTGGACTACAATGCCCATCACCCTGACCACTGGTCCTGCTAGCTAGGGATGATGGGGGTTTGTAGTCCAACAACAGCTGGAGACCCAAGTTTGGGGCACTCTGCTCTAAAGGTACCAGTGATGATGGTTTTGCTCAGAGCTTCTGAATACCAGTTGCTGGAAACTGCAGGAAGGGAGACAGCTCTTGTGCTCAGGTCCTACTTGTGGACTTCCTATGGGTACCTGGTTGGCCACTGTGAGAACAAGATGCTGGCCTGATTCAGAAGGCTCTTCTTATGGAACTCATTCCCTCAAGAGGCAGTGATGGCCACCAGATTGGATGGTTTGGAAAGAGGATTGGACAAGTTCATGGAGGAGGAGAGGGTTCTTGATGGTTACCAACCACAATGGCTATGTTCTGCCTCCACGGTCAGAGGCAGCAATGCTTCTGGAACCAGAAGGGCCATTGGCCTCATCCGGTGGGCTCATCTTATGCTCTTAGGGGCCTCTTTCCTAACTGTTCACCGAGTTCTTCAAAACATCCGGGCCACGTGAAGGGGGGAGAGCACACAGTTTGCACACTGTGTTCCTGGACAAGGAGATCTCTCTGGGTAAGGGGTGGTTCCCTCCTGACCAGGACAGGTCATGCTCTGACGGCAGCGTCTCCTCCTTGCCTCCCTCCCACAAAAGTCTTCTACTGCCTGAGCTTGACCCATGAGACACCTGCCTCCTCCTTCTCTTCTCTCCCTCCCAGGCCAAGACGGGCATCGTAATGAACGTCATCGGTGTCTTCTGCATCACCCTGGCCATAAACAGCTGGGGCCGCGCCATGTTCCACTTGGACACCTTCCCTTCGTGGGCCAACGCCACCGGGAAGTGAGGGCCGGGTCAGCCAAAGAGGACCTTGGCACGTGGGCTTCCTCGCCTCCTCAGCCTCCTGGGCCCTGCAACTTTCCCTCCAGCGCTGGCCCTTTGGAGTCCACGGGTGTGTTTTGGAGTTGAGGCTAGAGACTGTTTGAAACCTGCCTCAACTGCTGCCTCTGCTGCTTCCTGAAGGGACCCTGAGGAGGACGAGGGACCCCCGCAGGAGGGCATCTTCTCCTGGGACCAGCCGTCCGAATGGAATACGGGTCATTTGTTTTTAAGAGAAGAAAAGGACCATAAAATAGGACAAGGAAGAAGTTGCTGCTGCTGCTGCTGCTACTTTTCATAGAATCATAGAATTGTGGAGTCGGAAGGGATCCCCAAAGGTCATTTAGCCCAACCCCCCTGCAACGCAGGAGTTGCAAGTTAAACATTCTCCTTTGACTGAGGAAGTGGGGAGGTCAGAGGCCTGGCAAGACTCACAGCCGCTGAGGGAGAGCCTAGGGACTCCCACAGGCCATGGGAACCAGGATCTGCCTCCTCCCTCCCTCCCGCCTGCCTGGGGCCTGCAGGTTAACCATTGCACAAAGAAAGAGACACATGGAACAAATACTTGACCCAGAGTCCAGCTGGGCAGGAGGCCCCACTCAGGTGGACACAAAGCACATAGGAAGCTGCCTTATACAGAGCCAAACCATTGGCCCATCTAGCTCAGTATTGTCAACACTGGTTGGCAGCAGCGGCTCACCAGGGTTCTAGGCAAGGATCTCTCCCATCCTTACCTGGAGAGGCTGCAGGAGTTTGAACCTAGAACCTTCTGCATCCAAGGCCGATGCTGTGCCAAAGGCTCAGAGCTTCCCCAGATGGGACCTTGAAACATAGGAGACAACTCCTAGGGGCTGAGGTCTCTTCGCCCTCTCCCAATAAAATATCTGAGGGGGGCCGGGCCCCCCAAAGTTGATGGGCATTGCCATTCAAATGGTGTCTGTTCACCATGCCATGTGATCAATTACACACCCATATTACCTCCTCCCCACCCATATTTTATTCAAGTTGGCCCTCTTGCCTTAGAATGCCTTGTGGAAATGACCCCTTTGCAGGCTCTAAGCCAGGAAGGTGGAGTGGCCACTGGGCTGGACGTGGGCAGGGAAGAGGGGTGGGGCGGGAGGAAAGACAGAACAGCCAGATTCTAATACAGGTAGCCCTAATAATATATTTAATGTTGTTATTTAATTGCCTTAAAATATTAATAAAGCACCACTTGTGTTTTGTAAATTTTAAATAAACTGCTTGTTAATTCACCCTCATGCCTTGGAATGCAAGAGAGCCAGCGGTGCATACAGTGGTTAGGGTGTTTTAACTAAGACCTAGGAGAGATCAGGGTTCAAATCCCCCACTCAGCTGACCTTGGGCCAACCACTGCCTCTCAGCCCAACCTTCCCTGCAGGGTTGTTGTGAGGATAAAACAGGGCGGGGAAAATCTGTGTTGCCACCTTGAGCTCCTTGGAGGAAAGGTGGGGTCTAAATGCAACAAACAAACACCCACAAAGGACCTCTGTGCTCCTCCAGATACCATTGTCAGACTCCCAACTCTGATCAGCCTCAGCAGCCAGCAGTTAAGGCAGGGGATGAGGGGTGTGTGTGTGTGTGTGTGTGTGTGTTGCCCTGCAAACAACAACTGAAGGGATCACACACGGGTTCCCCCTCAGGCCTGGTGATGCTATACTGTAGTAGGAGAAGAAGAAGAAGAGTTTGGATTTGATACCCCGCTTTATCACTACCCAAAGGAGTCTCAAAGCGGCTAACATTCTCCTTTCCCTTCCTCCCCCACAACAAACACTCTGTGAGGTGAGTGGGGCTGAGAGACTTCAGAGAAGTGTGACTAGTCCAAGGTCACCCAGCAGCTGCAGGTGGAGGAGCGGAGACGCGAACCCAGTTCACCAGATTACGAGTCCACCGCTCTTAACCACTACACCACACTGGCTCCTACTACTACACTAAGCACCAAGTGACTGAGGCTTGCTCTAGAGAGTTTGCAGTCTCAATGGGGATGATCAGGAGGAGAGGGACTGGGGCCATTGAGGATCGAGGGCAAAGGGCATCTGGCAGGGGGTCTGCAGGGGCCTTCATGACGTTGCCATGGATCCACATCTTCCTTCCTTACGTCTCCTTACTCCCTGTGAAAATGGGGGCAGGGCGGGGCGGGGGGTTCTGACATAACTCTTGTATGGTGTCTAGTGTCTGAGATGCTTGATAAAGACAAAATATTATTTGTATTGTTATTGTTGATGGTGTTACCTCTCCGGGGTGGGGGTGCTTATCTGTTTGCTTCTTGTTGGAACTGCAGAATTTATTTTATTTACTATTTTTATTTATATCCCAACTTTTTCTCCAAGGAGCTCAGGGTAGCATACATGGTTCTCTCCCTCCTTATTAATCCCTACAACAACCCTGTGAGGTAGGTTAGGCAGATAGTGAGCGACTGGCCCAAGGTTACCCCCAGTGAGCTCCATGGTCAAGTGGGGATTTGAACCCCTGTCTCCCAGGTTCTAGTCGGACACTCTAACCACTACACCACACTGGCTCTCAGAAGACAGCCTTCCCAAAAGATGTTTATAAATACAAAAGATGTATTGTGGAAGATCTGTAATTCGATCTGGCACTTGATCTGTGTCTTTGCTGGGATTCTTAGCTTTTGCTCTGCTCTTTCCAGGCGCAAGTCCATGTTTAAAAGCTCTGTTTTATTTTTTGCCCCACTCTTTAGTGCTCATTCGGAACAAATGTCAATCCAGCTTTCCCATTTCACAGAATCATAGAATTGTAGAGTTGTAGAGCTGGAAGAGGCCCTGAAAATCATCTACTCCAATCTACTCATCTACTCCAATTCCCTGCAAGGCAGGAATATGCAGTTGTCCCATATGGGGATCGAACCTGCAACCTTGGCATTATCAGCACCACGCTCTAACCAACTGAGCTATTCCCAATTGCTCCGATTGAGCTTTAAAGAGTGGGTTTTCACAGGGAGAGCTCTGGAGAGGAAAAAGGGTGCTCAGACATGGAGCTTTAAAGCGTGGGGTCCATGCCTGGAAAGAGTGGAGGAAAGCTAAGTGTGGATAAGCCCTCAATTAACCAAACTAACTCAAAGGAACTTAGCGCTCACTGTTTCGGTCGCTGCCAAAGAGGGATTGAGAGCAGAACAATTAAGGTCCAGTCCTCCATCCTTAGTGCTGGAGTGGTGGGAAGCTGCCAAAATGATGAACTAGGAGGCTACAGAGAGAGGGGAAGAGGGGAAGAGAAGAAGCTCCGCTTGTGTTGCTATGAAACCTCAAAATGAAGCTTCCTGCCCTGAGTTCTCTGCTTCTGTTTGGATTGCAAACCTTGGGTGCATTGATCTTCCCCACTGTATATTGTTGTAGGTTTTGGGAGGGGTCCATCTGGATGATGCCCTGGGTCTCTTCCAATACTTGGGGGTCCTGTGCTCAATGATGGTTGCAATCTAGTAAAGGATGCTGTTGTTGAGCTAGTCAGACAAGTTTATTGGTAAAACAGCGAGTGACCTTATTTGGCAACTTAAGTGTCCTCATCTGTATCCCCAAAGACTGAGCTGGGTTGCAAGAGCTACCACTGTGTTGGTGCCCTCCAGGCTAATGGGTGGACCTTTCCTCCACCAACCTCACCTGGCTGCTAGGTAGGCAAACAAGAACCAGAGTAATGTGGATGAGATGAACTGGAGCCAGGCTGGAAGCCGGGTACACACAGACCTGCTTGTTCTGTACTGGACCCAAAGTTACGACTAGTAGAGAAGAAAGATCTGCTGGGGTGTTGATGCTGGGAGCCCCTCCATCTTATGCTCAGGTTGTATATATGTGTAAATAAAGCCATATATCCCAAACACACCACAGTCTCTGCTGACCTTCCTTCCAAGGAAACCAAACGCTGGGTATGAGCCTGGACAGTGGCGTAGCGTGGGGGGTGCAGGGGGGGCCAGCCGTACCGGGCGCAACATCTGGGGGGGCGGGCGCTTGCACTCGCAGCTCTCTGCCCCTACCTGGCTCACTCACTCTAGGGGGCGCAAATTACTTGCCTTGCCCCGGGTGCTGACAACCCACGCTACGCCACTGAGCCTGGAACCCCTGGAATCTCTCACTGTTTGGAGAATGGGGTGGTGTGGAACAATATATTTTATGAGTTACCGTAATTTAAGCGGGGGGGGGGGTTGCAAAGCCTCTTTCTCCTGAGATGGGCAGAGGCGGCCAGGGAGCTCCAGGCCCTTCCATGCCGGGGAAGGACTTGAAGTATTTGTTGCTGAACGTAAGACGTAGGCCAGTCTCTGCCAGCTGAGGCTGCTCTCTTGAGCCAAAAATGTGGGTCTTCACTGCTGCTCCCCCACTTCCAGCTTTCCCCACCTGTGTCATCAGCACCAGATATTTCCAATATCCCTCTACGGAAGGGGGAAAGGACCCTGAAAGCAAGCAAAGGGCATCCCAAGCAGCGATGGAGATGAACTCCAGGATTGAACAAATTTCTCTGTCCCCCCCCCCCGTTTTAATCTCACATGCCTGGATTTAGGTGCATTCTGGGACAAAACCTGGGTTTTGGTTTTTTGTTTTAAAATGGTGCTGACATGCTGGATTTTTCCAGTGACCAGCGAGGGCTGCCCCACCCATTGCAAAATTCTGACCTGAAAGGTAAGATTTGGCAACTCCGAGATTGCTGCCTTCAAAAAAGCAAATTTCTCACCCTTAAGGCTTTGAAGGAGAAAGCCATGAGAGACTGTGGAAAGGGGGGGGCGGGTTTGCTTGGTATTGTCAATCAAATCAGAGGAACAAAGCAGTCAGTTCTAATATATGTGTTGCAATCCTGACAGCAGAAAGAGAAATACTTTTCCAAAAATCACCATGTAAAAACTAAACTACCGGTACATGGATTTTTGTAGCTGTGGCTCACCACTTTCCTTTCAGATCACCTTTCGGGTCCAATGGCCAGTTCAAATTCCTACCCATATAAAGGGTCCCTGTTGAAAGCCTCATAAAAGATCAAATACTTTACAGGTTTTAAAAACACCTATTTGTCCTTATTTGGGCTATAGATCAATCCCAATGAATTTCCCTCATGTAGGATCCTTTTAAGAAATATGTATCTGCTTGGTAGATCACCAAGAACTGCATCCTCTTTAAATGATACATGAGGGGACATGCAAATATTCCCCTGCTTTAGAGGTGCCTGTGACTGAATACCACATGCCTCAAGAAATATTTATGTGTTAATAGCTCAAGCCTCTTTTTAAAACTGAGTTTCCTGCAGCATTATTCCTGCAGGATTTTTGTTTTTCAGCATTCCAGACTCACCGTCACTTCCTTGGCTTACCCAATCTATTGACATTCCAGGAGCAAAATGCTCAAGAGGAATTGTTAGGTATTCTATATTTACATATCTTATGTCCTTTTAAAAAAAAGATTCACGATTCAAGTCACTTGGTGTATTTTGCCTGCTCCGTTTCCCCTCTCCTCCCCTGTTCCTAAGCACAACATAACACCCAACTGCTGACTGATTCCTTGCACAGAGCATCCTGCAATAGGAGCCTCCAAGGTAGGGAATGTATAAGCGGAATGAGATAAACAGCATCTCTCTCAATCGGCTCACCAATACTTTTTACTGAAACACTAAATTTCAGCAGAATAGCAGAAAGCCCCTGTTTTCTACCTCACTAAGGATAATCAGGGCATATAGGTCTCATTGTAACTCCCAAAACATAACAAAGAAGTAAGCTACCCATTTAGCACCCGTGTGATAGAAACATGCAGCCCTCATTTCCCAAGGGAGTTCTGTAATTGAGGAATCTAAGCCATCGTTTTATTTCATTGCTTTATTTCATAGACTTTATACAGTGCCTGATTGCGCAAAACCTCAAAGCAGTTTACAAAAACCAGACAGCATGGGCTGTCCCTAATCAATGGAGTTATTAGGGGATATCAGGTCAGCCTCATTCGCCCTCCCATGACCCAAGGGGTGGGGGTGGGAAATGTCGCTATAATAAGACACCTGGGTGGAGAAAATGTTGCTTGCATTGGGGGAGGAAGGAGCTTCCATGGAAAGGCCTCCTTCGGGCTTCCATTCTGGTCATTCACCCCCAAGAAAGTACCTCTTGGGTCATTTTTCAGCTGCAAAGGGGGAAAATCTCCCTTGCCAGAATAAATCTACCATGTTGCATAATCAGAGCTCTGCAAAACACTCCTGTTTCTTTCATCTTCATCCTGGTTGAAAACCCTCTCATTATATGAAAGAAAGGGGAAAGTCGGGTCTTTGAGGAGAGATCCTGTGATGCTCACCAGATAAGTGCTTGTGGAGAAGTGGAGTGTTTTATATATAAAGACAGACTCCCCCCCACTCCTCTGGGAGCTTCAGAAATGGCATCAAGAACAGTGTGCAGCCAATGAAGCCTGTTAAAAAGA